CCAAGGTTTTAAATATTTAAGTTTAGTTAAATTCAAAAGTTCAGAAAATTCCACGCTACAGTGGTATACATATTTGAAACAAAAGTTTTCAATAAGTACTATTTTTAAATTTTTTGGTATTTTACTTGCATCATATAAAAATTTAAAGCGGGATGGTTACAGAAACTTCAGAAAATTCAGCGCTGCGCTCCTAGCTTCCTTTACCATTAGCGCGACTGTGAGCGATTGTTTCAATTTAGAACGATTTCTATTTTCACTAAAATCATTGCATTTATAAAGCACCTCTTAAAGTATTAAATTACTACTAATTGGGTACGTACGTGTACGGTATGTACGATACGTACGTTATAATACTACTAATTGGGTACGTATTATTTTAATTTAGATTTTTAATTGATTTATTTATTAAGTTCAAAAATTTTAATGTTAATTTTTAGTACCGAAAGCTTATTTCAAATTAATAGTATTTATTTATAGATCAATTTCATAATATGTTAATGTAAAATAAAATAAAAATTGTAAAATATCAGCCACATTTGCGTCCAAATATATTAATTTATTAAACGAACTAAAATAACGATCTACGTGTAAATAGTAGAATAATAATGTTGGTATTTTACATTCGGTGGTTAAGTATCATCCCATGGGTGTCGTAAAAGGCGAAAGAGAGAAACTAAAGGCGAACTCAGGAGATGGGCAGCATTATCTTCCTGATATACCAACACATGCACACACGCACACTCACACACAAACACGAGCTCGTATACACACACACACACACACACACACACATACACACACACACACACGCACGCACGCACGCACACACGCACACACGCACACACCAACACCACACATGCACGCACGCACGCACGCACGCACGCCCACACACACAACACACACACACACACACACACACACACACATGTACAGACGCACACAAACATATATACACACTCACGCACATTTTTAAACTAACATACATGCTTACATGAAATTAGTTAATCGCCACTAGAAACGCAATTTTAAATTTAAATTTAAATTTAATCAAAAATGTTAAATTTTAATGTAAAAAAAATGTTAACCATCCTAAACTTCTAGATATAATATGCCTACCTAGTTTATCTTATTTAGCAAACCGTAAGGGAAGTAGCGAGTTATTCCCAACACAAGTGTCTATGACTACTTATAGGGAGACTCGACAAATCTTTGTAATAGGTTTTTTTGGAAAAAAAGGAAATTTTATTATTATTTATTTTATTTTTATATAACAGCTAAATTAAAAAATCCACTTCGGTTGCCAACCCTCTTATTAAGTGTGGCAACTGTGGCAAATGTCCCTCCTATGAGGTGTACTATGGAGGAGGCCTATGTTCGGCAGTGGACTAAGATAGACTGTAATGATGATGATGATGATTGTAAATTGTAAAGGGTCTATTAGACTAAGATGGCCCTACAAGATATAACCTTTAATAAAAACCAGTGACTATTCGTCGCAAAGGATTCTTCATTAAAACGTTTTTTTTACATAGACAAAGAAAAGTCTTAAAACACAGGCTTAAAGTCCTGCGTAAATTAAAGTCGAACAGTTTTTGTTCGCGGTTAGTGACAAGTGATAAGTTATGTGAGAAATTTTAGAAAAACCGAACAAAAAAAAAAAAAAAAAAAGAGAAAAAATAGAAAAAAACATTTAACAAAAACAAACCCCCTTTTAAAAAAAAAAAATCAAGCCAAAAAAGAAGTTTTTTTTTTTTTAAAAAAAACAACCGCCGCCCACCTCTTAGGAAAAAACAAACGAAAAGAAAAAAAAAAGGCGTTTTAAAAAAAAAAAAAAACCAAACATTTCTTAATAGGTAAGGTACATAAAATAAATATATGGTTCGGTGACAAACAATCCCAAGTAAAATAGGAAACATTTTAACAAACGAATAACAAACTCTTATAGAACTTACGGTCCGTATAAACTCTTATATAGGTTTACCGAACATCCTGGCGCTTTATATTGTCATTTCAAAACCATTATAGTACTTTAAACTGTATAACGGTTGAAAAATAGCATATTAAAATGCTTTTGTAAAGCCTTTAGTTTTAGTATAGCAAACCACAACGCAACGGTACAGCTTTCAGCTGTTTTTAGTGGAGGTAAAAACAACAAACGGGTATGCACGTGTTTTGTTGATCATATATTTTAGCGTACCGTTCAAGTAATGTCATTATTTCAGTCTACATCAGGTCTACTAGTATACGGGTGAACCCATATTGAAATAGTTTATAGTCAATGGCGCTTTAGTGGTCCTCAAAAGTCTCTCAGGCCTCTTAATAATTGTTCACGTGTGAGTATTTATACTGCTGATGGCATTAATTGGTCTCTTTAAAGGATGTCTGGGCTGCTAAAGCCCGACACAATTTAGGAAATAACATTAACTTATTTAGTAAATAACTATTTAACAACGTATTGGGGTTGCTTAATAATATAATAAGTATATATGTTCAATAATATATAAGTATTATAATAACAATATAATAAATTCGAAAATGCACAAAATAAGCAAGGAAGGCACAAGGAAGGAAGTAAAAAGTCAACCGCTCAATGGGCGGGGGCTTCCCTGCCTATTGTGCGGTTGACTTTTTACTAACTTGTAAGTGGATAATGATGATAAATATCAAACTACATAAGTACTATAAAATGTAAAACTAGTCAATTAATTGCAGTATTTAACTTAAATAATTGAAATATTAATAAGAAATAATATTCAAATGTAAGTTATTTACGTTTTTATTCAATTAAATTGTCTTTCTGCATTTCTAATTAGGCAAACGACTGAAATTGAAACCGAAGTACCTCATTGAACATAAAGTAATCAGGTTGAGGAAGGTTAATTTGACAGAGTAGAATGGCGTGTCAACATCAGAAAAATGGCGAGTACTTGATGATGGATCCGGAGAGCACTTACGGTGTTCGGATTTTACGACTAAATAATATTATATCCACGTATATGAACGAAGATTTTGTTAAATATAACAATTTTATGACACATTTTATACACTATTTTGCCGACTTAAGAAAGTTTCCAATTCGACAGTACTTTTTTTTGTATGAAAGTAACATGATGCCTTCGTCAATCTTGAACCGATTTTGATGTTTATTTTTTTATTATTATAATTTAATTATTAATTTAATTAAATACTTTAAAGGTAGTCTCATATCACGAAACACGAAAAAATTACACGCCTACGAGTGGCAATATAGGTGATTTTTGTGATAGAACTATTTAGATGGCATTGAGGTTTTGAAATTCCAGTTTTGATAGTCCACTGAAAAGAGTACAAAAATATGTAATTTATAATAAAAAGTGAATAGAACTAAAGATAATAAAATAATTTCTCGTTCAGAAGTCTGGGTTTTAATTCTTGGGTAGGAGTATATAGGTACACTATGTCTTAGCACTGTACTTCAGAATGAAATGGTTTTTTAAAAGTTGCTATATGTTGTATTATTTCTTTTATAAATAATTTTTGCGTAGTGACATGATAAAAAAATAAATATAAATAAACACTTAACATTTATTTTTTTTATCTTGCTACTACGCAAAAATTTTGTAACTGCTGCTTCGAAAGCTTTCTTTTGACAATCAACATATTTATCTTTAAAAAAAAAGTTGCCTTTTTTCCTTCTAAAACCAAACATTTAAACGTTTCTTGATATAGAAACAGAAACTTTTTTATTTAATTCATATTATAAATAATACTTATTGAAAGTCACTGTTTTGTTTAATTTACCACTAGTTTGAAGAAAAACCTCTGTCCTGTTAAGAATCAGCAAGAAATGCACCATGTCTTTTTTTTTTTGAAAAATACCTCTTACATTGAATAGAATGTGAGAAATATGAGAAATCATTATTACAGTTTACAGTCAAATATGTTACAAATTAAAAACACAAAATAAATTAGAAACAGCTTGGTAGCGATCACCTAATTTCCATGTGTTATTATCAAATTGTTTAACTCATTAAGAGTTGGAACCATATAGTTAACCATAGTGTCGACGTAGTATTTTTATCTGTTATCCCTAATATTTCAACCGGTCCTACATTAAATGTTATCGCATACATCAGGATTAAATGAGGTCCGAAGATACTAAACTAGAATAGACGTAACCAACAGTCACTTAGATAGGTCAGCTGTCTCGCACAAGCCATAGTTTCATTAACAAAGGGAAGCGACGAAATATCTACTAAAATGAATATAGTGTTTAAGTTGAGAATTTCAACTTATGGTACATGAGAGTAATATGGTCATTTAAACTTTGCCGTCCTATAAAACCAAAACTAGCAGAATGACAGAGACAAAAACACAAAGTCATATATTATAACTAATATATTAAGAAAATAATAGCAAACAAGCTTTGGCAATAATTAGGGACGATTCGAGAATGCTATTTAAGAAAACTAACTACACTAAACCATACGAAAATCGACCAAAATATTTACTACTAGCTTGCCAGGCAGACGTTGTTCTGCCTTTTTCGACGACAATTTGTCACGTCCTATTAAAAATCCTTAAATTCGCAAAAAAAATTGTGATCACTCATGGGCAGAAAAACTATCCTATCTTTCAACTGCACACGGTGTGCAAATTTGATTAAAATCGGTTAAGTAGTTTAGCAGTCCATCGCGGACAAACAACGTGACACGTAATTTATATATATTAAGACAAAATAATGTCAAATGTCAAAATAGCGTCGCCGCTAAAGTTTTTTCCCTTTTGACCCTTAAGTATTTTATTGACCGATGAAGAGCTATGGTGTCACAAAGCCAACTATGCAAACAAGGCTGTAGTTTTTAGTTACAAGAAAGTGACCATATTAACCGGATGACCATATTACCCTCACGTACTATATATTGTTTGTTAAAATTCTTTAAATCACTTCCGCGTTCGCTTCCTTACTATTTCACTCACTTACATCCGTGCTTAATGTACCGTACATCCGATTTACAAACGTAGTTCTCGCCAGATAACTTGGCACTGTCGCCATATGAAGCGGCGACGGAACCCGCTTGATTACAATTCCTTGCGATAAGCTTTAGCAGTGCATTACGTAGGCTAGTTGCCTGTAATATGACTAAAAGATAAGGACTTTGCTTAGAAAAGTCGCCGAGCTTATTAAGTTCATATGACATCAGTGTCAAACGATCTAAAAAACCACCTACCATAATGGTAAATGGCTTCTGCAGCTGCAAAAGACTACACACAGTTTCTCATCTCTAAGCACAACTATCAAATGTCTTTGTGATGAATGTGTCAATAAACTTGAATTTTTTTTATAGAATAAGCGTGTTAAACGAGCACACAGTTTACCTGATGGTAAGTGAGTGCTGTAGCCCATAGACATCTACGTTTATCCTCGATTAAGAACAAAAACGCAGAAGTGTTGTAACCCCTGAGGACTAAAATGGAATCCCTCGTTTCTAGTAAAAAAGGGTCTCTGTATCTCTACACTCACCATACGAAATACAGCAATATTAAGCTGCTATTTGACGCTGGTATTCTGTGAGAGCGTGGTCCTTCCCCGGTCGAGCCGACCCATTCGTGCTACAACCATAATATAGCTGCGGCGTGGCTCTACCACTACGAAAATTTAATTAAAGAATTAAATTAAATATAATAACTTCAAAAAGACTGTTTATTGTACTCAAATTGAATACCTTGTCGTCTGTAAATATTTTACCCCTTAATCCTTAACCCTGAGCAATCACCGCTATTTTAAAACTCTAATCTAAATTAGATTAAAAAATCACCATTATAAAATACAAATTAGTATATTATATGTTTCGTCGAACAAATTTAGCAAGTAGAATAATTTTAAATTATCCCTTTTAATTAATTCCACTTAATTTAATACTCTAAATAATAAACAAGTACCTCATAATTTTCGCTATCAAGATTTTGTTGGAAGTTCACTGGAATCTTCTTTTGTTCTTAAGCGCGATCTATTCTAAAATTAACGAATAGCATTTAAATGTATAAGTGGTTGAAAACATTCTATCAGATTTAGCTTACCGTTGTTATTTATTTCTATAGCTAAACTTTATTCATGGCACGGTGTTAATAACTCCTACACGGGCATTAGCATTCGTAAATTCGTTAAAAAGCATTGTCCATAGACCACTCTTTATCCATTTTGTAAAAAAAAATATAATTATCATTACACTACTATACATACATAACATACATAAATTGCCATCCAGAGATAAGTATTTATTTATAGACTATACAAATACTTTTTAAGTGCGGGATTTGAAACCCGCGATCCTGAAGATCAGCGTCACGGAATCATCAAAATATTTATAGTTAGAATTATAAGTAGTAACAGCCTCAGTTCGAAGGCGCTCCTATTGCTGGTAGCGGACTTGTCAAGTTATAGAAATATTATACATAATTCTAAATTATGCAGGTGTCCTAACGTATACGTATTCCTCCACTCCTCAGCAAGCTCTAAATTGGACCACTCTGCCTAATAGTAAAAGACGCACACAAACGTGGTAGATTTTATACATTTTATACGTGGTAAAGCCACGCCGCAGCTATATTATGGTTGTAACACGAATGAGTCGGCTCGACCGACGAATGATTACGCTCTCACGAAATACAAGCATAAAATAGCAGCTTAATTGGCTTAATTATTATTATTGCTGTGTTTCGTATGGTGAGTATAGAGATCCGGAGACCCTTTTTTATTGGAAACAAGGCACTCCATCTTAGTCACCAGGGTCGGTAATCGCCCGCGGCCTCAGTGGTTCAAAATTTAAATCTAAAGGTTAGCTCGGATTAACTTTTACATCAGGAAAACACCTGGGTGCCTGAAAAACATTCAAAATGTCGGGAGCTAAAAATAAATTGAATTAAACGAATTAATATGTAATAATTTATTAGGGTTGGCCCACACGTACCATAACCACACCGCATCGCAGGGACGAAATGTGGGCACGTGTGAAGTGTCGCTGCAGCTTTTTGCAATGCGTTGTGGTTGCGTTGAAACCCTAGCCGTGGCGTCGACGCAATGTTGTGTTTGCGATGTGGCCGGCTACCAATTCAATGTGCTTCCTTAGTGGTTGTGTCGTGGTTGCGTTATGGTTGGTATCACTCACGCAGTCGATAATGACGTCACAATGTAGTACATGTAAATTGTACTATTCCAATACAAAATGCGCCCGCCCACGTGTTGTGGTTGTGGTGTTGTTGTGGTTGTGGTACGTGTGAGTAGACCCTAATGGTTGAAATCAGACATAAATTTTCGAATTCGCTGCGATAAAAATACATTTAAATAAATTATAACGGTGTGTTAATCTCCTTTTCTCTGAGACTATTCGAACCTATCACATCCTCCTCCAGACCTAATTCCGGTCACCGGTGACATATCAGCGCAGGGCAAAATTATAGTGCATGAGTGTGCACGCAAAAGTGCACTCTCTGTTCCCTGACTCTCATAGTGCGATGGGACGGAAATCCAACACGAGCGGAGGGAGATCAGACGCAGGAGAAATGGTTTGCATGTTTCTTAACAGAAAACTCTGATTTTTTAATTTATTTTTTACTTATCACTAACATTACGGGCTTTTATGAAATGTGCTAGTGTAAACATTTTACTACACTAACCATTATAATTATAGTAATATAGTACGTGAGGGTAATATAGACACTTTCTTATTACTCAAAAACTACAGACTTTTTTGCATATTCGGCTGTGTGTTACGATAGCTCTTTATCAGTCAATCAAATAATAAAGGTTCAAAAGGGGTCTGATTTATCAACGTTACTTTGACAGATAACATATAATGTTATATTCATATTATATTAAATATTTTAGTCGATTTTAGTATAGTGTAATGTGATTAGTTTTTTAAATTGATTTTTCGGAGTGTTCCTAAATATTGCCAAAACATGTGTGTCATTTTTTCTTAATATATTAGTTACAGTATACGACTTTATGTTTTTGTTTCTGTCGTTCTCCTAGTTTTGGTTTTATAGGGCGGCAAAGCTTAAGGTGACTTTCTTGACTGAAAAATCCAATAACTGATTTTAGGCCTGACTTGGGATTCGAACTCGGTACTTAAAGATCAGCAATCCCAACTAGACAAATGAGGCAGTCACATCATTAAAGCGTTAATTCATACATTATAAGACATAAATAAGTTGGGACGAGTGTCTATGTATTTGCGTGGTCAGGTTTAGATCATGGTTAAATCGTCTAAATAAGTGTGTAAAAAGTGATATATTAGTAGTTGATGAGTATGGATCGTAAAGCCCATATATATTTCAATTGATTCAAGATATGAATGATATCAAAAGCTTCTGCATCTAGACAAATTACAAACTTTACACGAAGGTTGTCGCGGGTGCAATACGTTCTTAATAAACCAGACGTCTAGCACATTCAAGAGCACTCAGACGTAATGCATTTTAATTTAGTCTCGTTGGAGGTGTCGTGATAAATTCTAATTGCTTATACTGCACCTTAACAGGTGGTTAAATGCAAATTACGTACATAGGTAATGTCTTGTTTTATCTCTAACCCTTTATGTAGAATCTATACATTAATAGATATACCTAAATAAACTGAAACGTTTGATAGTTATATTGAAATAACTGCATTATATTAAGTTGATTATTTACACGCCATTATGACATGAATGAGCGTTAACTCTGACTCTCATCGGGACGTCAATCACCTCAATTCCCCGTAGCCATGAGTGCTGGAAAGCACCCTATACGTTGGAAATTAAAAATATTTTTGTAGCATTGGGTCACAAACGAGCACACAGTCCTCCTGATGGTAAGTGGATGCTGTATCCCATAGACATCCATATTTATCTTCAGTTAAGAATCAAAGTGCAAATGCGTTGTCACGCCTAAGGACTAAGATGGAATGCCTAGAAAAAGGGTCTCCGGATCTCTACACTCACCATAAGAAACACAGCAGCATTCTGCTGCTATTTTACGCCGGTATTCTCTGAGAGCGTGGTCCTTCCCCGGTCGAACCAACCCATTCGTGCTACTACTATAACATAGCTGCAACGTAGCTCTACCACGTATAAAATACAATTAAACGCGATAAAATCCGTAAAAGTAGTTTAATTTATATAAGAAATAGAAAGATACAATATAAGATATAGTCTTCGTAATGGCTGAAACACTGACCTCTGTATATACAAGGGCTGAAGCGATTGTGACGAAACTTTAAAAACAAATGGAAAGCAATACCAAGAGGGTTTTAGGCTATATCTTATCCGAAAAACTTAAGCATTTAAAAAAAATGATGAAATGAATGATGATAAAATAATATAATGCCACATTAAACAATCCTATGCAGGCGAAGCCGGGGCGGTTCTCAAGTATAAATAAAGTTACAGACTTAGTATAATAATATTGTACGTAATTCTGCTAGGCAGAGGCATCTTGCCTTTTTTAAAAAGGGATTATGGTGCAAAGTTCACAGCTTAACAACATTGCTCCTAGTTAATGTAAATTGTGGATTAAAAAAAAACTGAAAAGGAATCGACGGATAACAAAAGGAAATATAGTGCATGGGCAAAATCATATTTCTCTTTTCCAAGTGAAAGGCGACAAATAAGCTCAGAAAACAAATTATCATGTTTTCAACCTATTATTATACAATTCCGTGCTTAACTATAATACCATCTGATGGTAAGTGTGTTAAGTTAGTTGTGTTAACTAAGTTCTAGATAGTAAATCGCACTGCTTAGCGTAACAAAAGCACAAGTCTCCTGCCTTGAATACATCCAGATTTTAATCGAACGGAAAGACAGACTGGGAAATTATTCCACTTCCTGCATAGATTATCGACGAAAAAGGAGTGAAGACCCGCCGACCGCCTAGTTGTCCGATGATTAAAAGGAGAAGTGACTTGAAAGACATGTGATTAATTAATCTATTGGGAATCAAAATGGACATACTTCGCCACTCCCGAGGACTAAGAAGAAATGCCTCGCTACCGATAAAAAGGGGCTCCGGTTTTCCTTGCTCACCACACAATATTCAGTTCAACATGTTGCTGTTTAACTCAATAGACGAATTCTTAGATACTGAACAGTAAATCCTTCTCTACATAGTATAAAACAAATTTGCTTCCCGCCGTATATACGCTTAGAGCTTTTAAATCACGCAACAGATTTTGATGCGGTTCAATAGACAG